GCCTCAGGACAGTGCCAGAGGCTGCCAAGGGGGTCGCGGTGCCAGGCAGTGCTGCTGGGCAAGAGCTGGACTCTCCCGTGCGCCGCTCTGTACTGGCACCGCAGTGTCCCTGCAGGCACTGGTGCGGTTGCCGGGCCAGCGCCGGGCCAACAAACACAGCATGCCATTGTGACCCCAAGGGGGTCGGCGGTGGGGGAGGGGCCCTGGGGGCTCTCCCCAGTATGCCCGTGCCCCTCTCGTACTGGGGAGCCCAGACCTGGGCACAGCGCTGCAGGCACGGCCTCACCGGCGCTGAGCAGAGGGGAAGGCTCACCTCCCTCCGGCTGCTGGCAACGCTTTGCCCAGCGCAGCGCAGGGTACCACTCGCCGCTGCCTTTGGGCAAGGGCACCTTGCTGGCTCCTGGTCAACCTGGTGTCCACCAGGACCCCGGGACCTGTTCTGCCCCGCTGCTTTCCAGCAGCTCTGCCAAGCTGCTTTTGGTCACGAGTACGTGTGGGTGTTTCCCAGGATGCTCCGTGCCCGTTCCGGTGCCCTCCGCACTCTCTTTCCGCACCCTCTTTCTGCAGGTCTCCCAGCGCCACTGCCGTGAGGGTGAGAAGGGCATGTTTCCGCCAGCCAAAGCAGTGGTCCAGGTGGCAAGGCTCTCTCTTGTTATGGGGCAGGGAACAAGAGGATGCACCCTGGGGACAAAGTCCAGAGACGGGAGTTCCCTGAACTCCAACTTTTTAACGCCAACTTTGTTCTTCTTCACCCACTGTCCAGGTAGCGGGTGGTGGTGGCACCCTCACGGAAAGCTAGAGAGGAGTTTGGCTTTGCCGGCTGCAATAGGAAGAGCAGCCACATAGCTGCCGCCTTGAGCGAGCAGCGTCTCAAGGACAGGGAGAGGGGAAACTCCCAGCAGCAGAGCAGGCCCCAACAGTGCAGCCCAGGGGGCTGCAGACACGTCCTGCCCGCTTCCCACTCTTCCTGGAATGCTTGAGACGGTTGGCAGAGCGAAGAAAGCCGTCCTGCCTGCTCGAGTCAGACCTGTTGTCTCTTTGGCTCCAGTCCTATGAAGCAGAGTAAGGAGAAGCTAAAAACCAAACCTCAAGCTGTTGTCTTTGTGCCCTTTTTGAAATTATACTTGAGTCACAAAAGGGAAGGACTTGACCTCCCCAAGTAGCTGGATTTTACTCTCTGCCTAGCTGAGGTTGCAGGTGAATAACACAGTTTCAGCTCTGTATCCTATTCCTCTGGAATTGGTTCCCGCTTTGCTGGTTTTCAGGGAACCCTAAAAATGAGACCTCTTGAAGTGTGATCAGTTGCAAGGTGTTGATTAGAAGAGAGGTACCTTTTCAAGGAAATCCAAATCCTCCACTGGCAGAATATAGTGAAATACTGAAAAATCAAGGAAATCAGCTTCCCAGTGTGGCAGAGCACTAGGTAGGGAGCAGAACTAGTAACTGCCAGCTGGTTTTGGGGAAACAATGCCTAAGTATTCTTGAACTAGTATTAGGCTTTATTAGACATAATGGGCTGAAAATGCAGTAAAGAACCACAAAGTGGCAGAACTAATATCATCCTTGTCCATAATGAAAGCATAAAAGAATATAGGTCCTCAAAATCTCCCACAGCATGCACGTGTCACTGCCTTGCTATGCCTTGCAGTTGGCTGTATTGAGAAATACAGACCAATACTGCAATACAGAGTCTATCTTCCTCCAAATGTTAACTTTCTACTCTTCTGACATTTTGGGTTATGCTCTTCGCCATTCCGCAAGTCCTGCCAGAAAACCCTGCTCCAGCATGGGTTCCTCTCTCCACGGATGCACAGGTCCTGCCAGGAGCCTGCTCCAGTACAGGCTTCCCACAGGGTCACAGCCTCCTTCGGGCATCCCCCTGCTCTGGCATGGGGTCCTCCACGGGCTGCAGGTGGATATGTGCTCCCATTAACCTCCATGAGCTCCAGGGGCTGCAGGGGCATCTCTGCTCCAGCGCCTGGAGCACCTCCTCCGCCTTCTTCTTCACTGACCTTGGTGTCTGCAGGGTTGTTCCTCTCACGTATTCTCACTCCTCTCTCCAGATGCAATTGCGCAGGTTTGGCATTGGCTCTGTCGGACATGGGGGAAGCTTCCAGCAGCTTCTCACAGAAGCCACCCCTGCAGCCCCCCCGCTACCAAAACCTTGCCAGGCAAGCCCAATACACCTCCACAGCATGACCAAGAAGAAACAATGTCTGTGCTCCCTCTTCTGGCTCTGCAGCAGCATTGACCTAAGCAAATCCTAAGTATGCCGACATGAGGGTTGAGGCCTGTGCACAACAGAGAGAACAAAATCGTAAAGCACTGTACTGTTTCAGCTTCCTTAAAGAGAAAAATTAAAAGTTGATTCAAATGGAAATTAAAAAGGTTCAAAAAATATTTTGTTTCCAAACTTCCTGAAAGTTTTTTCCAAGATCTGACAGTTGAAAAATACAAAAATGCCTTGCACAATGGACGACAGCACTTATTCGATATTTGTAAAACTGCAGCAATTTTTAATAATCCAATCAGTACATTCTGCCACTTGTGATTATTCTTTTCATTTACTACAAGTTTGGTTATGATCTTAGACAGCTGAGGCATCTCGGAGGCAAAGGAGGTTCATACCATGGCTCAGGAATGCGTTACCTCCAGCATGGTCTATCCTGCACAAATGCTGGCTCGGAAAAATACTTTTTCCCTGCGCTTGTTCAATTTAAAGAGAAGATGGGCTGAGCGTAAGGGGTACAGGAAGGGCAAAATCAAGATCCTGCTTGCTTCCTCCTATGGTTTGTGTATGACTAACATCTGAAATGGAAAGGATACTGTCTCTTCTGTTTCTGCATAGGATTGGCATAGCAAAATACACTAGACAGCACCAACTCAAAATCTGCCACTCTCCAGGAGTCAACAGTCCACGTGCTGTTCAATGTGGCCCAAAACTGTAGGCTTATGGCTAAAAATGGGGCAGAGCATTAGCTGGTGTATAAGACACACAGTAGACAGGAGTTTGGAAATAACATTTGGGATGGACTTACTTAATTACTAGGAAGCCACCCTCTCTTCCCCAGCAGTAAATCCCACACACGGAGCATCTGCTTTGTGACACAGAAGCTGAGACCACAGCGCCGTCATCAGCATCACAGCTGCCTCCAGCCTCGGCCAGGCTCAAGGAGCCACCATCTTCCTGCAAGGCACAGGGGCCTCGCGGCTGCCTCCATCACAGTGGTTTCCCCAAGGGAATTGGGGAATGTGGTTGGACGCTTACCCCCATGTGCAGGCACAAATCCAGGTGTGGCTCTGCCCCGTAATAGTCTGCTTGCGCAGACCAGCGTGACACAGTTGGTACTTGCTGACTGCATTACAAAGATTTCTGGAAGATGAAGATCTGCTGGTTGGTGTCATAAAGGCAGAGTTATGAGCTATGTCTTTCCTGCTCCACCGCATTTTGGGAAGAAGATGAGGTATTAATTACACCCTGGGCCCTCTCCCAGTCATCCTCCCCATCGGCACAAGCAGGGGCTAAGCTTAATTTTGCTGCCATTGGCAAAGTGGAGTAATCCTGTCCCTGCGCTAGTACCAGCTAATGAGCAAGCACAAATAAGCTGTCCTTGTGTTACTACAAGCTAACGAGGTTCCACAACACGAGCATCTTGTATCACAAAACTGACCCATTTTACTTCTTAAAACACAAGGCCATTTAGAGATATACAATATAGACTTAGCATAGTGTGACTTCAGAAGTGTGATGTATGTTGTTAAATATCCGCTACTGGTAAAGTTTCTATATTTAAACAATAATAAAAAACACTGAGTTTGTAGATTTGACTTCTGACTGTAACAACTTGTTCTGACCTTGGCTTTCAAGAAAACTTGTTTAACAACTGTTCATGTCAGTTCAAAAAAGCAATGCTGAATCCTATGACTTGCAATCTCAGGGTAAATGCTACATACACCAGCTACAAATACCTAAAATCCCTGTGGCTTTGGGACACTCTGCCAAAAGCCTTTCACAGAATCACAGGATGGTTGAGGTTGGAAGGGACCTCTGGAGGTCATCTGGTCCAACCCCCTGCTCAAGCAGGGCCACATTGAGCCCTTTTCTCCAGCTGTATCATCTATCTTCTTCCTGCAGCAACAGAAGCAGGAGAGATACACAATCCCATGGCTTAGGTCTGTTGTACAGAAAGACCACGGTTACAGAAAGTTGTCTAATGTCCACAGCGTATTTCATGATTAAATTTTTGTGGTTTCAAGATGAGAGGAAGACATTAGATCTTCTTTAAGATCCTTCTGCTCTGAGAGCTTTTACAGGCCCCAGTTTTTAAGTGGCAATGGCTCAGTTTGATTCAATTCACTATGCAGGAGTCAACAGTAAAAAAGCAAAGGACTAAACATTCATATAAACATTGATCTTTTTGAGACAGACACATAAGTCATACGAAGCTGACCTGCTGCTCTGTTGAAGCACTAGTAGGTGTATTTATGGGGAAAGGCAGAAGTGCCTCAGCTTTCAGATGCTCAGGAATTGATAGACATTAGCTATTTGTGAAGGACAGAAGGGCGAGTCTTCAGGTCTGGATCCATTCTGTGACATTGTACTCAAAGCTCCTATTGATGCCTCCTGAGATGAAACTCACTATAGAGTAGACAAGGAGTAACAGGAGGAATATCATGACCACTTCTACATGGAACAAAGGCAGTACATCTACAGATGTAGAGATGAACACCTATCCATATCTAAATAGCAATGAACAGCAAACCTCAAAATTCAGTGAAACTACGAACCAAAAATCTGAACAACACACAAAAATGTTTTTGTTCCCATCAAGCCATCCTGATGCCATCAAGTTTCATCAGCCCTGCCGTTTTAGCCTGTGCTCTGATGCTAAGGGCCGTGGTACGCTGCAAGGAGATGGAACCCTTGATCTCCAGATCATCCACTCAGACACATCTGAGGCCTGTAATGCTTAAATACTTTTTCTGGGAGACACTAGGGGCCTCAAGTCTGGAACTGGTGGATTACATCCGCTATGCAAAACCAGAATCACATTTAACACTAGTAGAAAACCTACAATCAGAGATGAATGTTTAAATCCAATTGCAAATGCAATCACATTTTCCTAAATAAAAAGATGAAGCATTAGAAGGATAGATTGAAGAACTTCATAACGCCATAGACCAGCCTGGCACCTTCAAAAAAATTAAACTCACTTGAAACAAACAAACAAACAAAAAAAACCCAAACATACAAACAAACAAAAAAGAAGAAGAATTAACCTTTTTTCTGTATGACATAAACACTGACTGATGAAGGTAGAATAGGTCTGGCAAAAAGATGGATGTGCCCACAAGTTATTCTCTTCTACAACTACTTTTTGTATTAAAAATGAAAGGGACAAACCTGAGTTAAAAAGAGATCTATGGACATTTAAGAAAATGTCAGCTTTCAAAGAAAAATCTTTGACACTTAAAAATTGCAGCTTTACACATTGACAAAGATTGCTTATGAGCACAAGACCAATGGCTTTGGAGAGGCGTCAGTGGAAATAAAATCTCAGAAATCTCAGGAAGGATTGGTATCTCTGTCTTGGCTGGCAACATT